GAAAGAGCATTCCTCCTGTGAGGAGTTTGGGAACTGCTGGGTTTGAGGGAAGTGAGACCTCGGGGGGGGATTTCCTGGCTTTCAGTTCTACGGCTGAGGTACGTTTTGCTTTGCAGTTCTGAATGAGACGTGTGTCCCAGACACGGTCCTTAGCATCACCTGCTACCTGCGCAGCTCTCGGTGTCACGACGAAGTCTACATCAACGTAAGCGGCTGGGCTCATCTTTTGCTTGGCGGGTGGAGACAGACGGGGGAGGAATTGTGGATACGGGGTGCCGGAGGGCCGCATCTCCCCAGCAGGGAAACATCTTAAAGACGCAAGTTGCCAGACGATGAGCAGAATTCTGAGTTGAAGAACTGCCTGCCTTTTAACCAGATAATTGATTTGGAGCCTGTAATGATTCCTTGTTTTTGGTGTGTGTGTGTCTCTTTAAAAGTTTGGTTGCATGGCTGTGGTAAGTAGACTAGAGTGGTTGAGAGAGGCAAGTGTGGTATGATTGGTGGTTGACAGAGAGGGGGAGGGGTTTTGGAAGTGAAAATGAGTGGATGAGTATGTATGTCAGTCAGGTTTTACAGTTACAGGTTTGACAGTTGATAAGTTCTGTTAGTTCTGTGTGTGAAAGGAGAGACAAGCAGTTCTGTGTTGAAGCCGTTGTAAGCTGAAAGCTGAGTGTCTAGGAAACAGTAAAGTTTAAGTGAACAAGAGTTAAAGGAAAGTCTGAGTGACAGGCTAGAGTGAAACAGTAAACGTATATGGCATTGAGATAAACAAGTGTTACAAAGTTACATGCAAAGATCCCTGTCAGAGAGGGAGAAGATTGTGTGGGATACCAAAGCAATTGTTCAGTATTTACACATTACTAGTTACATTGTACTACTCTCTTATTTATGCTTTATTTCAATAAATCCTCTTTCATTCAAGTATACCAGCTCTGAAATAAATACTTCCTCAGGTAGACCGTGCTGACCTTGACAAACCAGTGGTCTGATTCGGTATAAGACAGCCTCATGTTTTAGTTCCTCGTAAGCCTTGAACTCAGTCTACCAAAATAGTAAGAACAACAGTAAAGTATAAAAGGTTTGGAAATCCTTAAATTTCCTGGTGGCAGCCGTAGATACCCAGTAAAAGAAAATAAAGAACACTTTTAAAGGGAAAATAGTCCTCCCCAATAAGGAGGACGTCACAGAGCCCTTTTCCTAGGAGTAAAGGCTGACGAGTCTGGGACCTTTCTGTTTAGAAGAGAGACGACTTAAGGGAGAACGTGAGAGAGGTTTCTAAAACTGTGCCTGGGATGGAGAGAGATAACAGAGAGAAATCTTTTATCCCCCTCCCAAAAGACTAGAACTTGAGGGCATCCAACAAACCTGATGGGCAGTAGGTTCAGGACGGACGAAAGGAAACACTACTTTACACAGAGAGTGATTCGGATGTGGAAGGGGCTGCCAGAGGGTGTCGTGAGGGCCACAGGAATAAACAGCTTGAAAAGGGGATTGGACAGATTCATGGAGAAGCCTACCAATGGCTACTAGCCATGGTGACTGAGGGGAACCTCCACATTCAGGGGCACTAATCCTTTGAATCCTAGAGCCAGGAAGCAACATCCTGAGAAGGCCTCAGCCTCTCTGCCCTGTTGTTAGCCCTCCAGGGGAACTGGTTGGCCACTATGTGAGACAGGAGGCTGGACTAGAGGGACCCTCACTGGTCTGATCCGGCAGGGCTCTTCTAAGGTTGTTATAAGGGGAAGGCCTCAGCCTCTCTGCCCTGTTGTTAGCCCTCCAGGGGAACTGGTTGGCCACTATGTGAGACAGGAGGCTGGACTAGAGGGACCCTCACTGGTCTGATCCGGCAGGGCTCTTCTAAGGTTGTTATAAGGGGAAGGCCTCAGCCTCTCTGCCCTGTTGTTAGCCCTCCAGGGGAACTGGTTGGCCACTATGTGAGACAGGAGGCTGGACTAGAGGGACCCTCACTGGTCTGATCCGGCAGGGCTCTTCTAAGGTTGTTATAAGGGGAAGGCCTCAGCCTCTCTGCCCTGTTGTTAGCCCTCCAGGGGAACTGGTTGGCCACTATGTGAGACAGGAGGCTGGACTAGAGGGACCCTCACTGGTCTGACCCAGCAGGGCTCTTCTGAGGTTCTTATCAGGGGAAGGCCTCGGCCTCTCTGTCCTGTTGTTGGCCCTCCGTAGGAACTGGCTGGCCCCTGTGAGAGGCAAGATGCCCGACTAGATGTACCACGGGTCTTATCCAACAGGGTTTTTCTGATGTTCTTAGGATTGTAAATAAATGTAAATAAACTTGGCAAGAAGTTCATCCCCAGACTCGTGACCCTAGAGAGCTGCTGCCGGTCAAGGTAGACCGTACTGACCTTGACAAACCAGTGGACTGATTCGGTATAAGACAGCCTCATGTTTGTTCATGTGTGTGTGTCCCCTAATGAATACCAGTGGACATCCGTGTGTGCGCCTGTGTGTGAAAGTTCATACCCCCAACATCTTGTTGGTGTCTGAAGGTGCTGCTGGACTCGAATTGAGCTTTGTGATTAGATGCTATCAGCTCAGACAAGGGTCTCGTTGGGGAACTATATCAAATTGCATCCCGTTCCCCGCCATTTTATTTTTCCCCTCCAGGAAAAGAAAGCCCTCAGCTACCTGAACAGATACCAATACACAGACAGCGTCGTGGGGGGCGGCCAGTACGTCTACGATACCAAACAGATCGACTGTCACAGTCTCAATGAGGTGGGAAATCCAAAATGGCGGGTCGAAGGGGCGGGGACGCTCCGTTTCTGGGGAACGGCACCGGATTCAAGGGCCCGGGTGTGGAGAAGGGAAGCTGTGAGGGAGGGGACTGAATTCGGGTGGGTCGGTGGGGGCAGCAATGAGACAGACAGTTTCTGGGCAATGCTCCCTCTAAGCTATGGGAGCAAAAATTCCACTCTGTGAGCTCCCAGCATTAAAGTCGCGAGCAGGCAATTTGGCCGCCGCATCAGTGAGTTTGCTCCGGAGCCCTCCTTCCTGAGCCGAGAGACAAAAAAAGTGTGTGAGCCGGAGGCTAAAAAACTGTGAGCTGGCTCACGCTAACTCAGCTTAGAGGGGACACTGGTTCTGGGGCAGAAAGTTTGAGGGGCGAAAGGCGATACGGGGGGGGGAATGTTTGGCCAGGTATGGTGAAATGCCCAATTTGTGGAGGAGGAGGAGGAGGTCCAGGGTGAGTTGTGGTGAGGCCAATGTGAGGACAAAAGGGACTCCAGGTAGAAACCAAAGAAGCCTTCTGAAGTCATACAAGCCAACGGGGGCTAGTGGTTAGGGTCCACCAGGCTGGCACCAGAAACCCGAGTTCAGATCCCTGCTCGGCCCGAAAGCTCACGTTATCCTGTCTCAGCCCCAGGCCAAAAACCCTAACTATAAATACACGTTGATGGGGTCCGAACTGACAGAGTGACCAAGAGAGAGATCTTGGGGTCGTAGTAGACAACTCAATGAAAATGTCGAGACAGTGTGCGACTGCGACAAAAAAGGCCAACGCTATGCCGGGGATTATGAGGAAGGGAATTGAAAACAAATCAGCCAGTATCATCATGCCCCTGTATAAATCGATGGTGCGACCTCATTTGGAGTACTGTGTTCCCTCTAAGCTGTGGAGTCTTGTGAGCAAAAATTCTACTTTGTGAGCTGCAGGTATTAAAACTGTGAGCGAGCGATTTGGCAACCGTATAAATTAGTTTGCTCTGGAGCTGTTCTTCCTGAGCGAAGACAAAAAATGTGTGAGCCGGAGGCTAGAAAACTGTGAGCTAGCTCACACTCACTCAGCTTAGAGGGAACACTGCTGTGTACAGTTCTGGTCACCACACCTCAGAAAGGATATGATAGCATTGGAAAAAAGTGCAGAAAAGAGCGACTAGAATGATCAAAGGGCTGGAACACTTTCCCTATGAAGAAAGGTTAAAGCGCTTGGGGCTCTTTAGCTTGGAGAAACGACGGCTGAGGGGTGACATGATTGAGGTTTACAAGATTATGCATGGGATGGAGCAGGTTGAGAAAGAGGTACTTTTCTCCCTTTCTCGCAAGACAAGAACTCCTTGTGGGCACTCCATGAAATTGCTGAGCGGTCGGGTTAGAACGGATAAAAGGAAGTACTTCTTCACCCAAAGAGTGATTCACACTTGGAATTCACTGCCACAGGAGGTGGCGGTGGCTACAACCATGGACAGCTTCAAGAGGACAAGGTATAGATAGGGGCTCTGGGGCAAGTGATGCTCTGTCTTCTTGGTGCTTGGGGGGGTCAACAGTGGGAGGGCTTCTAGTGTCCTAGCCCCACTGCTGGACCTCCTGATGGCACCTGGTATTTTTGGCCACTGTGTGACACAGAGTGTCAAACTGGATGGGCCATTGGCCTGATCCAACATTGGCTTCTCTTATGTTCTGAACCCTACCTTGCCAGGTTGTTGTGAGGGAAAAAGGATGGGACAGCCACTTGGGTTGATTTGATGTGATTTATTAGTTTTTTATTCCTCCCGCCCAGCCAAGGCCGGCTCAGGGCGGCTTACAAAAACAGGATAAAAATGCCGACAATACACATAAAATCGCAGCATCAGTAAATAGAATCGCAGTGTTAAAACCAAGGACATGATAAAGTGCTAGCAAATGTAATCTCTTCATTTCACCGCCAGCTCCTTGGTCTTCTGCAGTTGTCTTGGGTAAATAGCTCAGGCGGTAATGAAAGAGTCCGGTGGATAAGGGCTCTCCCACTATAGGGTCTCACTCGTTGGTAACGGTGTTAGTGGTGGCGGCTCCAAAGGCCTGGCGGAAGAGCTCCGTCTTGCAGGCCCCTGCGGAAATGTACTAGGTCCCGCAGGTCCCTGATCTCCTCCGGGAGCTCGTTCCACCAGGTAGGAGCCGCCACCGAAAACGCCCTGGCCCTGGTAGCAGTGAGCCTGGCATCTCTAAGGCCTGGGATAGTTAGACGGTTTTTTGACCCCGACCAAAGTGCTCTCTGGGGTCTGTATGGGGAAAGGCGGTCCCTCAGGTATGTTGGACCCTGGCCACATAGGGCTTTAAAGGTAAGTACCAGCACCTTGAAGCGGACTCGGTATGCTATTGTCAGCCAGTGCAGTGCCTTCAGCGCAGGCCCGATGTGCTCCCATCTAGGGAGACCCATCAAAAGCCTAGCCGCGGCATTCTGCACAAGCTGCAGCCTCCGAACTTGCGACAAGGGCAGCCCCATATAGAGAGCGGTACAGTAGTCTAGTCTCGAGGTGACCGTCGCGTGGATCACTGTGGCCAGGTCATCACGGTCGAGGAAGGGGACCAACTGCTGAATCAGCCGGAGATGGTAAAAGGCTGACTTAGCAGTGGCTGCCACCTGGGCCTCCATGGTTAAGGAGGGATCCAGGAGCACTCCCAGATAGAGATGTGAAGGCCTGGAAAAATCAGAAAAAAATGTCCCGTCCCCCCCCCCCCCCCGTTTTTTCCCCCTGAAGCCTTTTAAATTTATGATTATGGAACGTTTTATTTTAACCTGTGGCGTGCCAGTAAAGGCCTAAGGATCTCTGTCTCTGGACTCCACAGGATGGTAAATACAATGTCCGTTAGGCTGGCCTTACACCACAGATGTTAATTGTGGGCATTGATGGTAGTGGTGGGCGGCTCCCAATTAAAAGCCTGGCGGAAGAGCTCCGTCTTGCAGGCCCTGCGGAACTGCACAAGATCCCGCAGGGCCCTGATCTCCTCCGGGAGCTTGTTCCACCAGTGGGGAGCAACCACTGAAAAGGCCCTGGCTCTGGTCGCAGGAATCCTGGCATCCCTGGGGCCTGGAATAACTAGTCGATGTTGTGACCCCGACCGTAGTGCTCTCTGGGTTATATATGGTTAAAGGCGGTCCCTCAGGTATGTCGGTCCCTGGCCATAAAGGGCTTTAAAGGTAAGAACCAGCACCTTGAAGCTGATCCGGTATGCTGTAGGCAGCCAGTGCAATGTCTTTGGCACAGGCTGGATGTGCTCCCGAATCGGGAGTCCCACCAACAGCCTGGCCGCGGCATTTTGCACCAGCTGCAGCTTCCGGAAGCGCGACGAAGGGAAGGGAAAAGGGGGTTCCCTTTGGCCCCAAGGGAAGATGGGCGCGGTGCACTCGATTCCAGTGGCGGCGAAGGGTCGCCTCCGAGCGGGGAGGTGGGAGCGGGGACAAAGAAATTGGGGGGGGGGGGGGGGGGGGGGGAAAAACTGAAATTGGGGGGGGGGGGGAGAGAGGGAAAGAACCCCGGTCGCCAACCTCTTCTTCCTCCTTTTCTCTTTCAGCTGCACACTTGGGAACTTCCTCTGCCCCGGAAGCTGGAACTTCCACAAGAGTTCCGGGCTCCCAGTTTGGTCAGTTGCGACACGCCGGAAACGGGGTGGGGTGGGGGATTGGAGGGACAGCTTGGCCAACGTCAGTTGGTCTGGGATCTCATGGTGGGCCAGCGGTAAGGTTGAACGAGACCTTTCTTCTCCCCACCGCCGCCTCTTTGGATCTCAGCTCTTTGGGGAACATCTGTCCACGCCCCAGACTTTTTGTCCGGGACAGAGCGGCCCACCCCCTTGCAAGGGGAATTCCTAGCGGGTCCTGTCCTGCAGAGGGACGCGGGTGCCCAGGAGTGGTGCTGAGTTCCGGTGGCGCTGGGGTTCCCTGGGCTTCGGCCTGGCCCCTCGGGGCTTTTTAATTTCCCAATCCGCCACCACGCGTTTGGTTCCTTTGTGGCGGTGATCTCCACACCAGCCTTGTGATCTCTCAGTCCCATTTAATGCGTTTCCCTCACGGTGAGATCTGTGACTCATCCGTCCCCCGAGCCTGTCGGTGGTTGGTTTGTTATAATTAAAGAGCAGATGGCTGGGTGGCACGCTCGGCCCACGGGGGGTCCCCGGTGGTGGCTTCCTGGGTTGGGGAGGAAGAGACGGGTCCCCTCTCCCAGGATACCGGGAGCGCCCGTCCCCCGAGCCTGCACACCCTTCCTCTTCCGCCCTTTGCCAATTCCTGCATTTCACTCACAGGGCCCGCCTGGCAAGACGAAGAGGGAAGCCCCCGAAGCGCCAAAAGACCAGAACACTCCCCCCAATAAGAAGCCGGAATCCGCACCAAAGCCCGGCACAGAGCAGAAGGAAGGTGCGGCCCAGGAAAAAGTCCCTGCTTCTGCAGAGGAGGCGAAAGACGGTGTAAAGAAAAAAGACTCTCCGGGGAAGGGGAAAAAAGAGGTTGGTGGCGGAGATGGAGGTGGGAGGAGGTTTTCCAGGGGCCGCGGGTACCCCCTGTGCACCCCGCGAGGCCCCTGTTTTCTTCCTGGGTGGAATTTTTCAGCAACAAACTCCCCCCAACCCCCCATTCAGAAAAGACACAATTCTTGCCTGGAATCCAGTGAGAAAGAACAACAGTGTGTGTGTGGGGGGGGGGATGTTGTCCCAGAAAACGGGTGATTTTGGGGGGCCACAGGGCAGAGAGAATGGGGTGGTTGACAGGGCTGGGAAGCTGCTGATGGCTGATGGCTCAGGTGGAACGCATTGTTTTTTCACACCCAGCTGCCAGCGATGACCACGACATGGGACGACGGGCCGTACGTCTTCATCCTCAAGATCAAAGGAAGCTCCCCAAGAAAATAGAGTGTGGTTTTGCGCCCCCCCCCCCCCCCCCGAGCCTCCAAACGTTACTCAGCTCTGAATACGAAAGCGTTGCGCTTGTGCAGGAAGTCTATTGCTTCAACAGCACTGCCCACTCTCACCTGGTGCAGAATACAGTTTTGGCACAGGCAGCGTTGTCATTATCCTTCCAGCAGCTCTGGAAAGCAGGCCGGTTTTCCTGTCCTCCCCTTTCAGGTGGAGAGGGTGTCTTCCTCAGGTCCACCGGATGAGCCGGTGGCAGAGGTGGGGTCCAAACTGTGGCCTTCCCAAGTCGTACATAAGAGAAGCCAGTGTTGGGCCAGTGGCCCATCTAGTCCAAAACTCTCACCGTGGCCAAAGATACCAGGGGCCATCAGGAGGTCCAGCAGTGGGGCCAGGACACTAGGAGCCCTCCCACTGTTGCCTCTCAAGCACCAGGAATTCAGAGCATCACTTGCCCCAAACATAAGAACATAAGAGAAGTCAATGTTGGATCAAGCCAATGGCCCACCCAGTCCAACACACAGTGGCCAGAAATACCAATGCCATCAGGAGGTCCACCAGTGG